GCTTGTGGCACAGAGTGGGCTACTGGTGTTAAGCCTTGCTGGGTTGGCAACGCCACTGTCAGCCCCGTGGAGCACTTCTTGGTGTCCATGTGATTGTCCCACTCCATCCCCCAGCTGTGGTCCCCCATGCCACCATGTCTGGCCCAAAGGCTGTGGGACTCACTACGCACTACCCTGGGCAGCGTGCAAATGAGCGGATATAAGAATGAACCACCCCAAACCTCTCCCTCTGCCTCAGTATCATCCATATAGCAGAGTTTTCCCCTAGAATTCAGGTCTATGTCCTTTAAGATCCCTGCTCCTGCATTCCCCCACCCCTCCACATTCCCAAAAAGGCCTTTATGGGGTTTTTTTTTGTGCTTTCCCACTGAGCCTTTGAAATAGTAGAGGCAAGCTCAGCTCCCAGGTCCTGCATCTGCCATTCGGAGCCTTTCCCTCTCCCCAAGCCCCACGCAAAATGTGCCATGAGGTTAACCAAGTGGCTTCTCCCCAGTGACACGGATGAGAGGCTGAGGCTGCTCCAGCCGGACTCGTTACACACCAGAGGCAGCAACTTCTCACCAATAAAAAGTTACATAGATTCTCCAAATCTCTGCAGGAATGGACTTGACAAAACCACATCATTTTATGAGGAACCTTCCCCAGAGCATGATTGCCTCCATCCCATGTTGGCCTTGGGCAAAAGGAAAGCAGCACACACAAGTTCTACAATCTGAATGTTCCCCTTTTTCAGTGCTTCCCTAGCTTTTAGTGCAAAGGAAAGAACCTAGACATACGAGATTCTTGTGCTATGGATTTATAATAACATTTTATTAATATATTATGCTACAAAAATATTTTGACAAAATAATATTAGAAAGCATCTTTTTATTACACTCTTCAAAACAGTTCACGAAAGCAGGAGGCGGAACAGGAAAAAATATTTGAAATACATTTGAATTGAAAACTGACAAACATGCAATCTAAAATTCAGTGTAAGCATGAATCTGCAGGATGGTTAAACCATTCCTGTAGAAGAAAAGTATTGATTACCTACTGGAAAGACCTCTCTGCCTTTTGCTAGATTAAGGTGCCTCCTGAAAAGCTCATCACAGGAAAGGTTGCATCTGGGTTGGGAAAAAACACATGCGCACAACATGCATACATGCACGCATGCGCATGCGTGCGCACACACGCGCACACGCCCTATGATCTCAAAATTAGGCAATTATCTTTCTGCTTCAGTTGAGCTGAAACAAGCTTAAATTGAAGCTGAACTCTAGCACGCTCCATGGAACATCGATCAGTTCAGAGATATGACAAGCCCATATGCTTTTTGGATATAATATAGAAATATCTTATGGTACTAAGCAAAGTTTGGAATGATAACATTTATGCTGAGATAATAACTTTGGCACTTTGGTTTCTCTAACATAAATATATGATGGGAAATTCCTCCCTAACAGTGGTATACGGTAATGACTGGGTCATATCATTCCACTAATCAATGCACTAAACATAGATTAAGTTCTCCCTCTTTCCATCTCTCTCCCTCTCCACAACTGTATATTGAAGAAGTTAGATAAATATACAGCTCTGTACCTTGGGTGTTCCTAAATTACAGTGGAGCTTGGAGGAATGGGAAGGGAAGTTCAACAAAGCAGATTTTGACACCTGTATAAAGCATAGTTATCATAAATCATGTTCATCATTTATTGCCAGAAGAGGTATTGCATTATTCAACAGCTTGAAGGATTGCAGAGAAAGTACATCAGCCATAAAATATAAAATACCTTCTGTCCCAGCCTTCCAACTGGTTCTCCAAGTGGCAATGCACGTTAATATAGCATCTGTAGTTCAACATAGGCAAGAAAAGCATTAAACCAATGAAAGAGTGGAAGTTAGATCTGTTGCTGGTGGTATGGGGTATTTATTCCACCAGGGCAAGAGCTTGGCAGATAATTAGCATTTGTTTATAATGTTACAGTTACATATAATGTGAATTGTATCGGTGGCAGTTGTAGCTGTGTTGAAAAGATGAACCATACGAACATTCAGCTTTGGACTCATCCAAAATCACGTCCTTGATCGTTAGACGTTGCGTGACTCTCTTGATTGTATTTCTCAGAGGTAAATAGTATCATTGGCATTCACTATCATATACAGCAGGCATGAATATTTTTGTTAAATCGCCTGCTCCTGGAATCTTGTGATTACACGGGAATCTGAGCTTTCCTTCGGAAGAACGAGAACAGTCGGTTCCTAGTTTTCCGAGAAACCCACAGAGATAACTGAAGTCCCATGAAGCTGGTAGTCAGTGTTACTTCAAGAGCATGTATCAAATCTGATGCATACTTTTTAAACTCATGGTGAATATATTCATGATCCATTGCAATAGATGTGCATGGATTGGTGCTAACCAGTATTAGTGTATTTTAATTAATACTGGGCTGCTGATGCTGATTAATAAATAATCCATTTTATCAATCACAGTGAGGGTCTCATTTTCTAGTACTGCTATGCTTACATGCCATGTATTGAAAAAAGTTACCCTAAGTCGTACCTTAGGGTAAGACAACAGAATACAAGAAGTGTTTGGCTAGAGAACTGTGCTGAAGCCATTCATGTGGGGTTCCTGAGCTACGATCTATGGGAAGCTACTTAATGTTATATTTATTGTAAGTTGTCTCTTCTCCCCTAACCAGAGGAAGCTCAGATGACTGAGTGAGCCAGACGCTTTTAGCTGGCAGAAATGAAGTGCGTGGACCCCAAAGGCAGCAGACACCTTGCTTTGACACCTGCACTGCAGTATGACAAACGCCGGGCACCCGTGCAAGGGAAATTCGGTGAGCCACAGTAACGTTCATTCATTTTATGGGAATTACAGACAAAATGCCAGGAAATGCAAATACGTCAAAACATATTTTGATAGCCAAGCTATTTACACACTGTCATATCCAAACACACCATTGAGATCTGAGCTACTGAATATTGAGCATTACTGTCCAGTGGAGGAGTGACTCAGGAAAAAAACCTCATCAGTGACAAACGGAGTGACTACTTTGTGCGGTCTAATGACAGCTGTGAGTGTGGCAAGATCTGTGTGCTCCTAATAGTCAAAAAAGCCCCAGAGGCTTATGGAGAAAGCCACAGGTTGGGAAACTGTAGAACTGTAATTTCTAGTCCTATTGGTGGTTTTCCTTACGGTCTTGGACAAGTTGTTTCTGTTTTCTGCTCTTTTCTCTCTCCCTTATCTTTATGTGGTCTTGTCTATTTATACTGTAAGTTTGCCAACACCTGGAATTATTTCTGGGATGGTACCACAGAATCATTTCTGGATTCAATCAAATGACAATAAATAAAATTCAACGGGTTTTGGTTTGTTGGCTGTTCACTTTTACTATGTAACTTATCAGCAGCCTTAAGATTTGCCTACCTTATTTCCAGTTCCATTTTTGTGAATAATACATTATAATTCAGTTCTGACCTCTGTCTTGAATACAGCAGGAGAACCACTCATCTTTTTAAACACATTAAGGTTGCGTTTGAAGGTCTGTTAAGCCATTATATTCAAATGAAGGCATTTCTAGGGTAATAGCTCAAATAAAACTAAAATGAAAGTTCTCAAAATACGTTTCCAATATCCAGCTCCATGCAATAAATATTATGCAAGGTGAATGGCTTCTGTCCAAAACTAACATCTCTAATCTTCTGCTAGCCAAAATACACAATCTAAAAGTATGCACAGGGCGTGCTTGAAGCTCACATTCGGGGCAAAGCTCAAAGTTTTCCATTCAGCCTTATCAACTGTTGTGCTTGGAAAAAAATAGGGGTAGCTTATAGCACTGTCTGCTGTACCCACTTAAACTGACCACAAATCTACACAACTTTCTGTCAAAAATAGAGCAAAGGCTGGAGGTCACAGGTTGCAGCAAGTCAAAAAGAAGTTATCTATCTGTATTCTCCTTTGCAAGGCAATGGGTTGGGATGCACGATGGAAAAGCTCAGTGTTTCATCATGGTTCCAAATACAAGTATGTGCCTTTTGTAGTCTAATTATTTCCTAACCTACTTTCCTGAATTAACTGGTACAATGACAAACAAACCATGAATTCTAAACCGTCTCTCACTGCAGAGACTTTAAGATTGCGAGGAATCATCTCTCCAGTCCTGAAGACCATGCTGTAGGGCTGATGGGAAAGTGATCGGATTCTTTTCAGTCAGACTTTTATCATCATTATTATTATCATCATCATTATCACCTGATTTTTTCTCAAGGTGAAAAAGCACTGCTTTTTCATAAAGAAAACTTTGCATTGTATTTTTCTGTTTTTTGAAGCTTCTTTTTTTAACTAAGATGTTTTCATCACATATTTTGATTTTTGGTTTGTAGGGGACTTAGAAAGAAAAACCCTATTTCAACCAAAATTAATTTTCTAGTTGAAACTATTGTATCCAAAGGGATTTTTCATCATGTTTTGTTGGGGGAAAAAATCAACAAGCCTTACTAAACATCATAGTTTTTAAGATGGACGTGTTTGGGGTTTGTTTTTTTTTTCCCCCCCCATATGTTGTCCATCACATTCATGAAAAGTAGCTGCTTGGAGAGGGAGCAAATTTTTCAGTGAGTGTAAGGTGTCATAACTTTTCCATCTAAGTCAACAGAGATACCATAGTCTACGAGCAGAGGACCATTCTGTACGTCTCCATGACACAGGGGTTTAATTTGGTTCCTGTGGTCTTGAACAGATTTTGGACAAGTCATAATTCAGCATGGAGATACCAGCTCCAAGTATCATAACAGCAAGATGAGGACGAATTTGTAGATCTTTTTTGCCTTCTAGGTTGTCCATCTGCATTAATACAACTGTTACAAAGAAGTTCTATAGATTAGCAGGATACTACATCTTTATACCCTATAGACAGACCAAGTTCTCTTCTCATTTATGCTGGGAAAGGTTGTAGGCTTGTGTTTATATAAGATGAGGGAGAGAAGAAAGTCATTCCAGTGGGATTAATCCAGACTTTAAACGCAATTTTTTTATTAAGAAAAAGGTGTCTTAATTTGCATTAGCTAATGAATTAATCCCAGGGCAAAGAGGAAGATTGGTAATTTCCAAAGAAGTTAAATAGTTAAGTTAAAGACAACAGGGGAACTTAGGCGGTTATCTTGACTAATGACTTACTAAGTCATACAAAAATAACTGGGATTTTGTTTGTAGCAGCTAACTTGAGTTAAGAATGCACCTATTTTTCTAATGGGCATAGGCCACAGAGAGCAGGACCTGCTTTATTCAGTGTAAGCTATGCTAGTGAGATTAAAAAAAGTAAAATAAAGAAGTTCAGCAGATATGTACTTATTGGACAATTTCTGTAAAAAGTAAGGGTTAAAGAAACAAAGAAGCCATTCATTTGGTGTCAGTTCAGACATTTGCAGAGTTGTCAGTTAGAAAACAAATATAGAAAATATTAATTTATCTGTTTCACCATCGCTACTGATTAATAGGGATGTTATTAACATATACAACAAGAAAAAATAAGTTTACCAGTCGAATAAATACATTTTTTCTTTTTCTTTTTTTTTTCTTTATATGAACATGTATATTTTACAAAACCCCATAGCACTATGGGAAATAAAGATCCTTCTACAAAAAGAAGATGTAAGTCAGTGTTACAATAAAGCTTTAGCGTTTCAAAATGTATCTGGTCAAAGAGACAAAATTAGCTAGAAGGCACTACTGATTCACTGAGAAGGTCCAGTTTGTAATTGTTGTCATAACCTCCAATTCATTCATAAATTATCTCTCTTCTCTATTCCAAGGGATTGCACGTAATACTAATGTGGTCAGGAAGGCTGCAGTAGATTCAGGAGAAAAGAAGCTATGGCCACGCAGAGAGGAGAAGTTATTGATGGCCATAAAAGGCTGGCTGAAGCTGAGCTTGTAGGCTGAGGCTGGGATGGGCGATCTGAACGCGGTCTCTGATCCAGCCGGTTTGAAATCCAAATGGGCGGTTTGACTGTGATGTAGCCATTGGTTATCCTGATATAGGAAGGCAACGTGGTGGTGCTAAAAGAAAACACAAGAGAAGGAGATTAAACAGGAGAACCCTTATCTCTACTCTGTGAGCTGTCACCCTACGTGGTAGTAACAACAGCAATGACAATCACAATTATTAGTAGTATTTGCACACATCAGACGTGCAGGGAGATCCCCAGGGGCTGGTAAGTGTGAGGGTCTGGAAACAGCTCTGATTCAGCATGTCCCTCAGCTTCCAGCTGCTGGTAGAATATAAGCGATGGAAGGCTCACTCTTGATATATCTAGTTTATTGTACCAATTTTCTTAAGCATACACCGTTGGCCAGCATGAGACCCTGTGATAGATGCAGCTTTGTGCTGACCCAGGATGGCACCATTCTTATATTCTTAGGCACCTTCTTGCCACCAAAGGTCTCAAAATTTGTCATGTCTCAGAGACACGTCTTGCCCATCGTGGACTGGATACTAAATCCAGGAGGGGCCACAAAACACGTCCTTCCCCTGTTTCACAAGCCATAAAGAATTTCCCAGGATCCCCTTACACATCTGATTGATAACCTTGAGCACAGGAGATCAAGCAGCTTCATTTCTTTTCCTGGCTTTAAGACATTTTGGATCAAATCACAATGCCAAAACCAGACTCAGTCTGAAGTTCCCCTGTCTGTGGATTTGCCTCGATAGCAGTATGATTGCTTATTGATTGTAGCTTGAGTTAGCACTTTGATTTGAACAGGCAGGTCGGAATTCATCATGATTCCCATGACACTGAAGGTCAAAAAGGTCAATTTACAATTGATTTGGAAGTTTCAAGTTGTAATCTCCGTTTCATAAAATGCTTCCATTGCATCCATTATTGCAAGATCCATAATCCACCAGTTGTCAGAGAGCAGCACAACTGAGCATGCAGACTGTGCAAGGTGGATTCTGGACTTAAAAACACGGCGTGCTGCTGTGGAGCAAGGAGAAAAAAGACAAGTTCCCCTGAGAACAAGATGTGACACTAATACCTGCAGATTCTCTGTGTTATTCTTTTAAATCTTCCATAAAGGGGATTTGGAGGCACTGAAAATGACCATCAAATAATTTTTTTATGGGGTAAGAAGCTATGCAGTCCTATAAATATTTAGGTACAGTATCTGAGATCTTGACCTTGGAAGAAAAACGCTGTGTCTTGCATAATATCAGATAAAAGGAACAATACCTTGCTCCAGATTCATGCACATGAATTTAGTAGCACTGAAGGCTTTTGTCTGTCTAAGCAATAACAAGATAGCTTTTAGCGCAGATGCTTCAATCAGAAACTGTGAGAAGATCAGAGTCTACCCAGAAGAGGGCACTGGTTAACACACATGCGGGTCAACATCAAGTCCAATAGACAGTCACTGCACATTATACTTCACCCCAGGCTTCGGGATAATTAATTTCATTTCTTCCCTCACCCTTTATACTGTCACCACATCTTCTGGGTGGGATAGTCGTTCCGTAGCTAGAAGTGATCTTAACTAATACGCAATGAATTAGAGTAAAAAGAAAGGGCAGTCTAGAATTAAAGACATGGGAATTGCTTCATGGGAGCAGATAATCCATCCAACCAGTATAAGATCTTTGACAGTGAGAAGCGGTGCTCATTCCAGAGGAACAAACTGCTATAAGTAGAAAATTTTGAAAGCAAGCCTTGCCAGAGAAAGCTCTTATCTAAATTCCCATGGTGAATGGTTGGTTTATGTCTTGAACTGATGATACAAGACACATAGCTTGAGAACTTCTGCTATATTGCATCAGAACTGCTGCAGTCGCTTAATACAAAGAGTTGATCTGGGATAAGCTAATGCTGCTGTTTCAAATTTGTCCAGCTTTTTTGAGTAGTTAATTTAGTGCTGGCAAGAATGATACCAGATTAGACACTGTCTATCCAAGCTCCTGTAATGTACGTAACATCAAGTATGAATGGCCTTCCCACAGTGAATACAAAGCATCATTAAAGCATACTTCTGACAAAACCAGGTACTACACGCGCTGAGTAATTCAACAGAAATGCAGTCATGCTCCAACTTCTGATCCAGATCTCATTTATCCTGTTGAGTGATGCTGTGGTGCACAGAGCTGGCAACGCTGACAGTGGGATCACAATTTTGGTTTTTTTTTCCCCTGCACCAGTTTTCCCTAAGGTAAGTATGGGGAGGTGCTTGCACTCATCTTTTGGTTACTGTTTGTCACTTTACAGAACTACACAATGTAGCCCTAAATTAAATTTTAAACTGCAAGGAGGGTCTGGTTTTCAATTTCAATTTAAAAAACATTGCCAAAACGCCATTCAGACTTGCAGTTTGGGTGTATCCTGCTCCTGACACATTCTATGGGTTTGATCCTCCAGTGAGATTAAAACGTCCCTTGCGCAAACCGTCTTTCTGCACCTCAGGGATGTATTGTGTGAGATGTTCGACGGGGGACACAGGCTGGCCAGGGAACCCGTAAAAGAATCACGAGCCCATTCATCAGCCAACTACATCTAAGGGATTCCTAAAGCAGCCTTAAATCAACATTTTACATTTCTGTATGATGTTTCTATTTTCTAGTCAACTGCCAGAAGTGTTTTGTCGTTTTTTTTGTTAATTTTTTTTTTCTCGCTTTAAAACAGGTAGTTTTTGGGGAAAAAAAAAACCCTACAGTTTACTTAAAATCCCATGGTTTCCTGTCAAAAGACCTGAGAATTTGTGACCACTCTTTTCCTCAGTGAGGTCATTATCTGTATTCAAGACATTAGATTTCTATAAAGCCTTCCCTGTTAAGATAAATACTGTTATGTGGGGTTGTTTGTTTTTAAAAAATCCTTCACTGCTTTACAAGAGAAGAACAGTGCATTTCCATTAACATGTACAAAGCATGCTAATAGCAAATGAATCACAGTTTATCCATAGAAGACATTTTCCTAAGTGCAACTTTACTTCTAGCATGCTAGCCAACTGCCAGGGTGGTTTAGAGATATTTAAAGAGAATGATCCCTTCTACCAAATGCTACAAAACTTGTATAATCTCCAAGTTTGTATCTAGGCTGTTTCTGCAGTGAATGGGGAGAGAAACCTCTCCAGAAGGTGGTCCACCTCATTCCAGTGCAGGTCTCTAGGGGGTACTTACTCTTTCTCGGGGTCTTTCTCTTCCTAGGGTTTACAGAAGGGGCCTAGGCAGCCAGGTGAGATTATAACCTAATCTTAGAGGTGGCCCTAGTGTCAGGAGATGACTTCTCCAAACCCCCTCTGAGCATGTTTGCACATGCACATAGGATCTCACCGACTCTTGGACCTTCCCTAAGGATGAAAGCAGCAGCAGAGTCCCCTGAACTCAACTGGAAACTTTCCATTGTCCTCAGGGAAGTTTTGATCATTCCTGAAATGAACATAGAGAATAATATAAATGAATCACAGATCTGAGGGATAATAATCTAAATTATTATCACGCCTTCTCTTGCCAGCCCAGGATATTCTGTATTTCAGTCTTTTGTGTCTGATAAAAATATCTTTAATAAAACATTCCACATGATCTGTGGTGAACAGGCAACCACTGGCTCCACTGTTCATACCTCTATTTTTTGCTTCTGTGTATGGGATTGTTTTAAAAATTTGGAAGACTCCAGGTATCTTTTAGCCAAATGACCTGCGGTATCATATTCTTGAGCTTGTACTTTTGATCAGATAATAGGGCAGTTTTTCAAATCAGTGCATTAGTCATACATTGTCTTACCATCATTAGAACATGTAAAACTTTCCCAAAAAATGGGGCCCCAGGCAGAGGCTTTGTGAACAGCCCCTACTGAATCCAATTACATGATTCAAGTCCTCTGCGCTGGGGGCATGCTGGAGCACCTTGATGATTTGGGAGCATTTTAAAACATTGAAAAATAAAACAAAGACACATGCAAGCCTTTGGGGGAATTTCTGTTCTGGTTTAGCTTGCAAGGACTTTGCAAGGAGCTCAGAAGCTAATTTTTAGTGTGACTTGGTTTATCCATATAAGCAGGGCTCATCTGACCACATGTGACACCACAGCAGAATCACAGGAGATAGAACCAGGAGGGACTTTCTGGCCCATCTGTCCTAAAGATAGGAACAAGATCTAAACCCCTCCTGACATTTATGTCTAATCCAGTCTCAAAAAAACCCTACAATGATAGCAATTCCAGAGTCTCTGCAGACATCTATTCCAGCATTTCACCATTCCTGATGTCCAGAATTACTGCCTAATGTTTCACCAAATTTTCCTTGCTACAGTACAAGTTTGTGACCTCTCCTGTCCCTATGGACAGGTTTATTCCTTTCCTCTTCTCAGCAGCCTTTCACGTGTTTTGAAGACTTAACCGTGTTTCACCTCAGCGTTCTGTCTTTTAAACAAACAATTCCCTCTGCCTTTCTCCGCAAGTCCTCAGGTGCTCTCTCTCCATCCTTTCTTCTACTCTCCCCTGGCTCTGCCTAGTTGATCTGTGTCTTCTCTGGAGTGAGATGCCCAAAACTGGAAACAGTAGGTCTAGCTGAGATATTGCCAGCCCTAGGCTTTGTGCAGTAGGTACCACTGCTTCTTTATTTGCAAAGCAAAAGAAAGTGCATGAAAAATATGCAATCTCCAGGAAGATGGTCTTTTCACTACTTTTTGCCCCCGAAGTCCGAACCACCTTTATGGTCCCAGTAACTGTTCTGAAGCTGATGGAAAATTGATGGTGCTCTGAGGGGGTGAGGACCGACCAAGTTACGGTGATATTTCTATGCATTTTTAATCTGCTGCCATGCCTTGGTCCCAACACAGTTTCGGTTCAGGGTGGAGGAAGTGACCCTTTTATGCATAACTTACAAAGTGTTGGGGGATTTTCCTGGATCAAAGGAACTATATAAACACACGACAACTATTTTTAATAAATGTAAACAAATGTAGACTCAGACAGCCTTTCTTACAATAGCATCTGATGAAAGAAGCTTATCAAGACAATGTGCCAGCATAGATTGAACCCTGAAAAAATGCATGTTTCAACTGAAAACCTAAA